TGTAGACCTTTCTCAGATTTGTTCATTTAGTGATGATATCTTCAGTTCTCTAATTTTGGTGAATATTTTTGCCATTTTTGGTAAAAAGTGATATTTTCGATTTCTTGTTGAAAACTGTAAGTCCGATTGCTTTGATATTACATATATAGGTGCTACATGTGGATCTCTCTCAGATTTGTTCATTTTGTGATGATATCTTCAATTCTCTAATTAATTTATTTTGGTGAATATTTTTGTAATTTTTGGTAAAAAGTGATATTTTCGACTTCTTGTTAAAAACTGTAAGTCCGATTGCTTTGATACTATTCATATTGTTCATTTTCTAATGATGTCTTCAGTTCTTTAATTGAAATGTGCATTGCTAACAGCGGAGCTATCTCAGCCGATAGGCTTCTTGTTATGCCCTGCCGTCATTTTGTACAATTTACTCCTGAAATGTTTGGTATATGCTTCAATGTGTTCATATGTATGAGCAAAAATGTAGTGTTTTAGTGCATCATGTTTGAGATGAGCTGTATGTAAAATTGTTCTCTTTGTGAGAATTCTGTTATTATGAAAGATTACAAAAGATCATCTTTAAAACGTCCTGGTTCATTAGTCCTTGCTGACTTTTGTTTCACCCTATTCTACGAATTAATATAAAAATTGTAGTTTAAAACTGGTCTTAAAGGCCCATGCTTGTAAAGTAATCCCTAATGTGTGCTCTTGATTTTATTTCCTATTCAAATTTGCTCTTTACTTAATTTTTGAAAAAATCAGTCTTCAAAGGCCAAGTACAGATGATGTTGACTTTCAGATATTCTATACTTCCATGGATTGTTCATGCCTCAAGCAGTACATTTAGGAAGCACTTCTATATTCAGCATCATGGAAAATGAGGTATATAATCACTACCTGAAAGAACTGTGGTCCTTGGAGGCTTCTGCGAATTGCTCAACTTTTTTAATGTAGTCAATAACAAGAATCTTTGATTTCCCACTGGAATGAAACTTCTTGTAGTATTTTCTACAGCTGCTTCTGTACATCAATGTGGCTAGAGATGAGGGAATAGTAATGATTGCTGGATAATGCACAACTGATCAAGAAAGGATGATTGCTTTGTCTTGATTCGTCTTGGGTTAATTGTCTTTGAATAGTTTGGAGATGATAAGGCTCTAAATCGATAGCATTATGTGCTTGTACCATGTCTGTGCCACAGTGTGATTATCTTGCCAAGGACTAGAATCACATGGTTTATGAATATTTAATTATTGTCAGCGGGGATATTTCTGATGACATATTGCTTGGTTTCTTGGAATTCTTTATGGTATATACGAGTAAGTCTTATTTTTAAAATTTCGGACATTGAAATTCTTAAATAGTTCTTGACTCATAAAATGTTGAATCTATAGTTTCTACTTCATCGTTTGAGTCTCATTGTCATTCATTGCTTTTACATTCGTAGTACATATGTGTCTTGCCATTTAAGTATGGTGTGAAACATGTTTCATTATTGATTCATTAAAAATGTTTCCTTTGTTATTTACTTGGATATAATATTAATTATCATCATTGTTTATTTTTTAATTTTTATAAAATAAAAAAAGCATCTAAAAGGCTGTAATCAGCATTGAAATGTCAACACCAATCTCTGCTCATAGACTACAAAAGAAGATTGATAGATATGTTATAGTGCAAAATAAATGTAAATCAGTTATAACAGTTTACTGTCATGTACACACAAGGTTTTGATTAAATTTAAATAATTAAAAATTGATTATTAAAATAAACTGAAATCTATTTACTTAAATTATGTTGATCCATTGAAAAATCAATAACCAAAATGTGTTTGACTTGTCTGAAGATTGTTGTGTCAAGTTTGTGACTCATTTTGCAGTTGAGGATCCTTATAACTTGAGATGTATTTACTTTTTTGGTATTGCGAAAAGTTATCCAGAATACCAGAATGTATGACCTTTGTTGACATCGGTACCAGGATGTATGACCTTTGTTGACATCGGTACCAGGATGTATGACCTTTGTTGACATCGGTACCAGGATATATGACCTTTGTTGACATCGGTACCAGGATGTATGACCTTTGTTGACATCGGTACCAGAATGTATGACCTTTGTTGACATCGGTACCAGGATGTATGACCTTTGTTGACATCGGTACCGGGATGTATGACCTTTGTTGACATCGGTACCGGGATGTATGACCTTTGTTGACATCGGTACCAGGATGTATGACCTTTGTTGACATCGGTATCAGGATGTATGACCTTTGTTGACATCGGCACCAGGATATATGACCTTCACTTATTTCTAGTAACTAATTCTTGTTTTAGCATTTATAACCGTTATGATTCTGGGTTGTGTACCAGGGTGTACATTTGATGTGCCAAAAACATCTGGCTTAAATCTCAGTATAGTTTTGTTTCACTGGGAAATAAACACTCAGATACCCAACCATCTATTAATTATTGAAAGAAATGTAAAGTGATCCAGATGAAGCAAAATTGCACCTGCCAAATGATTGTTTATATTGGATAGTCTGACTAATTAATTTGTGTCCTGAGGGTTTGAAAGAAGTCAAGATTAAGTGTATAAAAATATAACAGTACTCTGTTAAAGTTTGTAATCACAATGTTCAAATGAATATATTTTGTGTTCAAATTCAAACAAGAAATAGTTTATTTTATAATTTTTTGGCATGCTTTAATTCTTTGAAAAAACTCTGTGTGTGTTTACTATTGTCCCACAATTGATTAATAGCTTTGGTTCAAATAGGTTTGCAAAGTTGGCCACTGTTAGAATATTCCTGTCAATAATTTTATGTGCAATTTTTATAAAAATAAAATATTTCACCTTATTTTATACCCAACACAGTTTAATTTTCCCACCTAGCACTGATATAGTTTTCATTGCCTACAGAGATTTTCCCAAATATATGATGTATGTGGAGAGAAAAATGTGCAATTTTTTTTTGGTTAAAGGTGAAAAGGTTACAAACTGTTATGAATACAGTGTTCTCAGTGGTTTAAATTTAACTGACCTGACCTAATTCTATATATGTCAATTTCTTAACCAATTTACCATGTCTGTGGTTTAATGTTCGCCTGTAGATGCTTTAATAGTGATCATGTAAGACAATTCAATGCACATCTTAAGATGACATCGATTGTAGACACTGAAGATGATGGTTTATATCTTTTCTTAACTAGGTGTTTATTTATTGTCTCGAGTAGACCCAAATCCGTCCAAATAATATAACATTAAGACATTGAAAAGGTAGCAAACAAAACAGATTCTTTGGATATGGTGATTAGTGAATTCCAATGTCGGTGTGTTAGATCCCTTACAAAAGACACATGATTTAGTTCCTTATCATTGTTACTTTCTGGCTGTGTTTTCTTTCCTGAAGGTCTTCTGTTCAATTGCGATGTTATGCTCTCCTATACACTGTGAATGCATCGTATTTCCGTCCAATCGCAGTTTACTCTATCAGGGGACAGCACTCAACGCTGTGTGTGTACAAACTTATAGAAATCCAACTTTCTGTTTTCAATCGGTGACGAGAATGGATGCTAAGAATACTGAATGGAATAAAGTCTCTGTTGTTAGAAGGTCAAAGGTCATTCAAAGTTAGCCCAGGAATTCAGACTTACGGGTGCGATTTGAAGATTTAGAGAAAAAAAAATATTTGAACACTTTTCAGTGTTTTGAGATTTTATTTTTTTTTGCTCAATTAATTAAATTTAGTGTAGAAGCTTTGTGAGTGTTTCCCTTGTCTGCCACTAGAGTATGTATGTTTGTAAAACGAAATATGCAGTGGCTGTTCCATTTGATGATTTTTCTCCCCACTATTGCAAAGGTTGTACATTGAACATGTTATAGTTTTCTGTGTATTGTACCGAACTGTTTTCTCCAGATCCTAATTAGTGAAAAAAAAATTAAATAAACATTAAAAAAGATGAAGGTATGTATTCGAGATGCATTAAAAAAATCAATTCATAATAATTGCAGACTTAGCTGTGGGTCCATCTTGTGTCAGGCTATAGTTTTGGGATAGTATTTTAGTCATTTTTAATATATTTCATGTCCTTAAATTTGTTATTTTTAGATATTAGGATTTTGTTGACACAGAAGGGCTAGGATTTCTCCTACACACATACATATGATATGTATGTGCGACACAAAACGTAATCGCAAATAATGGTCAATAAAAGTGAAATATTTTTTTGTATTTCACCATCAAAAATATCGCCAGTCAATAATACGTTAATGAAACTATCACCAAAGACGAACATGTAACAAAAATGAATATTTTGATGTTCTTGTGCTCGGAACCACACAGCTGTTGGACTTGATCAAACTTTTAAAAAACAATTTTTTTTTATGAATTGTTTAAATGTCATGTTCGAATGAGAAACTTGCCATTTTATGTAAAAAAACAGTGATTGAAAGAAGTGAAATAAAACTGATAATTTAAATTTCAATCAATTTAGCAATTAGTCTAATTACCATATAGCAAAAAAATTTATTCTTAAAAGAATGAAGCTGGCGCCACTGACATAGTGTTGATTTATGAACTCCCTCTTTAAGTTAGTGGCAGTGTAGATTTAATAAATTGTCAGTCAACCACAATTAAATGTTCTGTAATTTTCTTTCTGTGAACAGATCAATCACCATGTGTCAGTTTTTTCACATTTAATCTGAATAATTTCATCTTGGTATTAATTAAATTGCTTCTCTATAGCTGAACTGTATTTCATGGTTATTGTTACTGCCTGCTGTTCTGCCATTGGTGGGCTGTCCTAATTGAAATAATCAGGGGGGGGGGTATACCAAAGACGTTTTTATCGCCAAGGATACAATATTATATTTTGCACATTTTTATGTAGTTTTCTACAATTTCTATAATTTTTGAAAAATGGGCCTATTGCTACAAAAATAATTTTTTTTAATTAACTTGTAATGAATGTGAATCTAATTTGTGTTTATCATTCTCTCATCAGTTGGTAGCGGCAGAAGGTAGTAGTATATCAGATAGCACATCACAATGCACTGAATCCCAGGCAGATATTCCATTGGAACGGACAGGTGGAATCGGAGATTCCAGACCTCCATCTTTTCAGTAAGTACCTTCACAGTTTGGACTTGGAAAATGTTACTGCTTGACCTGAACTTCCAATGTCAAACTTGACATTCAGTTACAAGGCAAAAATGATTTAATTCTAAGCTAGTCAAGCCAGGTATTCAAAAGATGGTCATTGATGTTCCTGAATTTAGTTTGGTGGCTAGTACGGTGCAGAGAAATGTTGATAAAATAAATGTATGTAACATTTATAGATGCTATTTGTTACATTAAAGTTTATTGACACAACACTGACTAGAAATAGTACACAAGTATGAACTCTACCTAGATCAACTATTTTCGAAATAAAATGTTTTCCAAAATGTATGAATATGAATGTTCATATGAAAATGAATGAATGAATGAATGAATGAATGAATGAATGAAGTTTATTTATGTATGGAAATCTATATAAGCAAATTGTGTGATTTATCGTAATAAAAAATTGATGGTGAATATACTGGCATTGAAAGGGTTATTAAAACAGAGTATAATCAAATCTAGTCACAATTAAATCTAAATGGAGCTAATAATAATAAACCTTGCATCATCTTTAGAATGAGTGAAGTAAAAATAAAGTCTTAGAAACATACATGTAGTTATTATTGGCAATATAGGTAATCCCCTCATTGTTGTATTTTAGATTATTTTTGTATGGATGATTGCCAAGGTTAAATCTAACTCCATCACAGCTAATCCTAATTTATAGTCATATGACCCAACTACCTTTATAAAGAGTAGCTATTTATAGTACCATAGTGCATTATGGGAAATCTTGGGACACGCATTTCAATAGTGCTTCTGATTGTGGATATTCTGTTAACCTTACTGGTTTATTTGAGAAGCACTTCTTTAACACAAGTGCAGATAACCACAGGGAGTTGGACAAACTTATGTATTTTAATAAATTATTAAATAATAAATTGTTATATAACTTTTCTTTTACCCCTCCTGGTCTTTTACCCCCCCTTGTTTATATCACTCTTTCCTTTATCACAACGCGCTAACGTTATATGCAAATTTTAACGCGCGATGTAGACACGCCCTATTATAGTAAAATATCCCAAGGGTTGAAACACGCCAGGACTGTGGCATGAGCACAACCGTAAAGCCAGTGGGCATTTAATTTATTCATGAGATGCATTAATAAACAAGAAATGCTGCGCGCGATTTTTTTTTTAAAATCCGGCAAGTGTAATCTCCAACGCGACGCAACTTCAATGAATCAGTGACTCTTCTGTAAAATGGTTTCTACTTCAAATGTTGTTCGCGTTGCTCTTTGAGATCTTTCTAATGAAAATAATCAACATAGCAGCAGCACAAATCATGGGAAAAATT